ATGTCATGTAGGAGATGGCAAGCAAGTTCTGCTTAGAAGGAGGCTAGGGATTCTTTAAAGTTCAGGTATGGAAGGAACTTTCCAGATGCTAGACTGGCAACCAATTATGTAAAAGTATTGAAGTAAGAGTTGGGATGTTGAGTATAGAAAATAGCTCATAGGCCCATTTGACTTGAACAGACAATGGGGCCTAATATAAAATAACTGAAAAAGGAGGTGTGAGTCATAGTGAAAAGAGCTTTTTTTTTTTGTGAGGGGGGCTAGGCAATGGGGTTAAGTGACTTGCCCAGGGTCATGCCGCTAGTAAGTGTTATGTGTCTGAGGCCAGATTTGAACTCAGGTCATCCTGAATCCAGAGCTGCTGTTCTATCTACTGTGCTACCTAGCTGCCCCAAGAACTTTATTTTTTAGCCTAAGTATTTTCCACTTCATTCTAGATGTGATAAGGAAACAGCGGTTTCTAACATAGATCTGGATTTTAGGAATGTCAGTTCAGCAGTTATATGAAGAAGAAAGAGGCTGGCAACAGAGACTCATTAGGAGGCTTTTGCAATAGTTCAGATTAGCAGCGATGTCGGGTTGCAGTAGGGTAGTGACTATATGACTGTAGAGAAAGGATTGATACTAGTGATCTTGTAATGGTTGAATTGACAAGATTTTGTTATTATTTATATATGAGGGTTTGAGGAGGTAGAAGAATCAATGATGACTCCAAAGAAGTGAATATAGATTGCTTGAAGGATTATGGAACCTCAAACAGAGGTTTAGATGGGGAATGGACACATATATACATATACATGCACACATATACACTCACACAAATAAACACATGTGTGTGTACATTTATATTTAATTTGAAATGCCTATAACACATCCAGATGATGTTTTGCAGGCAGTTAATAATATGAAACTAAATTTCAGGAGATTAATTATGACTGGTTTGCAAACAAAATTTTTAGAGTGACATTTAATTAAATTTCTCCACAAATTGTCTCAAACCCACTTTCCCCATCTTATTTCATGTTATTCTCCTTCAGAAATTCTCTACTCAAGTCAGTTATTTTCCTCTTATTTTCCAAGATACTTATTTTCCAAACATAGCATTTCTTTTTCCACATTCATAGAAAGTTTGAAGAGAGAGAAAGTTTGAAATATCCATTAAGTGACTAATAATAACCACTACTGTTATTTTGCTACATTTGACTTTCAAATTGGGATAAGAATCCTGGGGTGAGAAGGAGAGCGATAAAAACATTTTAGCTTACATGGACTGACATTTATAGGAATGGAAAAAAGTGCCAGGGAGGAGGCACGGAGTAGTCTATGAGATGGCAATATTATCACTGGTTTTCATTTTGTTTTTTTTTTAACTTTAAAGAAAATATGTATATGTACATATATATATATATATATATGTATATGTACATATATATATGTATACATATTTATCTTTTTTTCTTTTCCTTCTTCAAATTTTTAATCAATTCACTCATTCCTAACATTCTTTTTTTTATTTTAAATTCCAAATTTTCTTTCCCCTCCAGTCCTTCACTCACCCATTTTAATCTTTTTTTTAATCAGCAAAAATCTACCTTCTCTCCTTCCCAATCTCAACCCTTCACGTCCAACTGAGAATGAAAAACAAACAAAATGTATATATTATCCAGTGTGTGTGTGTGTGTGTGTAAGATGACTAGCATGTTTCATCATTATCTTCTGAGATCATGACTGATCATTACATTGATCAGAGATCCTAATTTTTTTTCAAAGTTGTTTCTCTTTATCACTTTATTGGCTTTGCTTAAATTGTTTTCCTTGTTCTGCTCAGTTCACTCTCCATCAGTTCATGTAAGTCTTCCCAAGGTTCTCCAAAACTACCCCTTCATCATATCTTTCACCGCAAATAGCATTCATTAACATTAATATGTCATAACTTGTTCAACCATTTTTCAACTTATACATATGTCAACAGATTCTCATTCTTTTCCACCTCAAAAGGAGCTCATGAATATTGTTGTACATCTTTAGAGTTTGTTTTGCTTAGGACTAATCCTTTGCTTAATTTACTCTCCCACTAATTTCCTCTTCTGCTGGCTAGGTGGCACAGCTAGAGCACTAGGTCTGGAGTTAAGAAGACCTTAGTTCAAACCTGTTCCCAGACACTAGCTGTATGGTCCTGGGTAAGTCATCTTTGCTTCCCTTAATCCACTTCAGAAGGAAATGCCAAACCAATTTAGTATTTTTTCCAAGAAAACCCCAAATGAAGTCACAAAGAGTCAGACAAGATTGAAATGACTGAGCAGCAACAGCAATTTCCTCTTCTCTCTTCTTCCCTTTTCCTTCCTATTTCGTTACTGACTGAAAAAATTTTCTGTATCTTATTCTGTGTGTGTGCTTTTCCCTCCTTTCCATCTCTCAGTTCAGATGAGGGAGAATTTTGTGTCACCCTATCTCCCCATACACTTTCTTATTTATATAGACCACACTGATTAATGGGAGCTAGTTTTCCTTTCTTTTCCTCCTTCCTCTAGTGTATTATTCTTCCTCTCTCTTTCCATTCTTGTCTTAGGATCATCAAGATCTAGAAGAAACACTTCCAGCCCCTCTGTCTAATTATATTCCCTTTATGACCCCGATGATGATAGGGTTCGAAGAGTTCTTTTTCCTACATTAGAATATATGCATTTTATTTTTGTTTAGTCCCTTATAATCATTCATGTTTACTTTTTAATGTTTCTCTTAATTCCTTTGTTTGAACTTCAAAAGTTTTTATATAGTTTCAGTGTTTTCAGCAGGAATACTTGGAAGTCCTCTTCATTTTTTTTAAGGCAATTGAGGTTAAGTGACTTGCCCAGGGTCACACAGCTAGCAAGTGTCAAGTGTTTGGTATGAGATTGGATTTGAACTCAGGTCCTCCTGACTTCAGGGTTGGTGCTCTATCCACTGCGCCACCTAGCTGCCTCAGTCCTCTTCATTAAAGATCAATTTTTTTCATGTAGTATATATTCAGTTTTACTGGATAAGTTATTTTTGGTTATAAGCTTATGTCCTTTGCCTTCTGCAATACAGTGGTCCAAAACTTTCAACTGCTTTACTGTGGTGGCTACTAAATCCTGACTGTGGCTCCTTGGTATTTGAATTCTTTCTTTCTAAGCTTGTTTACAGCATATTTTCTTTGACCTGTAAGTTCTAGATTTGGGTTTTAATGTTCCTATGACTTTTCACTTGGGAGGCTCTTTCAGAAGTGACCAGGGGATTTTATTTTCACTTTGCACTCTGCTTCTAAAGGATTTGGGCAGTTTAAGATTTCTTGAAATATGATGTCAAATCTGTTTTCTAAGTTAATTGTTTTTATTATGAGATGTCTTACATTTCTTCTATGTTTTCAGTCTTTAGAGTTTTTTGGGTTTTTTTTAAATATTTATTGTTGTCTCATGGAGTTATTGGCTTGTACTTGGTCCATTCTCCTATTTAGGGGGTTTGTTGCTTGGGCAAAGTTTTTTACCTCTTGTATCAAGCAATTAATTCCCTTTCCAATTCTTTCTTCCATAGTTCTCATTTGTTTTCCATTTTCTATTCTCTCTAGTGCAGATATTAGTAAACTAAGGCCCCTGGGCTCACTGTTTATTTATGGCCCATGAGCTAAAAAATGGTTTTATGTTAAATATGAATGTCACATATATGTCATATTTAAAACTGTATGAAATTTTGTGTGTGTGTGTGTATATATCTCTATATCTCTCTATATATCTATCTATATATATATCATATTTAAAACTGTATAAACAATTCTTAGCTCATTGAGCATTAAAAAAATAGATGGCAGATCAGATTTTACCCTCACACCATAGTTTGCCAACTCCGTCCTTAAGTTTTTGTTATATTGGTAAAATAAAAAAAGACCTCTTTTGGGAACCCTTGCTTCATCTCTTCCAGGAATTCTAGATGAATTTGTGGCCAAGCTAGGTTTGTGTCTGAGGCTTTTCTTGTAAATGTTTTAAAGTCATTCTCCCCTTCTGAGTTTGTGTCTTGAGCATCCCTGTCATGATAGTAGCTGCTTAAGAGAATTTTTTTTTGGTCTGGACATTATTCTGTTCTACTTCATGATTTTGGACTTGATATAGAGGTAGGCTCTGCACATTTCTGGAGTTTGGCTTTATTGCTGCTTTCTTAGGGTTTTAGTATTATGTTGTTCAGGATTTCAAGGATAATTCAGGCTGAGGAGCTGAAAGCTTTTGGAGATACCAAAGGGGTCTGATCCAGGACAAAGTCTGAATGTTCCTCACTTTGCATGAGTTCTTCAAGTTCCTGATTTGGGTTTGGGTCCGAGTAATAGTAGATTGCTGCTGGACCCATCCAATTTCAGCAGCTGGCAATCTCTGCTGGTTTAGAGTGATAACTGAAAACTTCACTTTGGTCTAAGATTCTTGACCTGGTCATCCTCTATAGGCTTCAAACTGGGCTAGAAGATGGAACTGAGAACCTGGTCTACTCCCTCAAATTTGAGCCATACAGCTTCTATTTACTTCTCGCCACCTCAGGCCTGCCTCTGCTCCCTCTCTAGGAAGTCCTGCATCTTTTAGGTTCCTTTTTCAGTCCATCCTGCATCTGTGATCCAAAAGTGAGTAGCAGACAATATTCCATTTGGCACTTCTTCTCATTGCAATGTAACCGGTATGGGTTTGGGGATATCCTAGTATGAGACTGAGACTTCTTTTTGCCTCTTCCTGGGTGCTAGATTGTTTCTATGGGTTGCTCCTTGGCCAAACCATGTCCTTAGTGTCTGAAGATCTCTCTGCTTTGCTCACTATGCTGACATGGGCTGACAAAATGATTCACTCTCGTTATTTCTTAAATTTCCCCTCGGAAATCAGTCTGGTACATTTTCTAGTTGTGTTAAAAAAAATTTTTTTGGGGGGGTGCGGCTTACTGTATTTCTTCCTACTATTCTGCCATTGTAGCTTTGCTTCTATCATCACTTTTAGAGGGAAATACATTTCCTACAGTTCAGATACTTTGGTACAGATAATCAAGGAAGGCAAATGTTCATTAATTTCATTAGAACGAGGCCTGAAATATGGGCGGATGATTTTCCCATTAAAATCACAGCCAGTGAATGTATAGATGTGTGATTTGTCAGTCACATTGTAGAAGGAGACTTGCTCATACCTACAGCTCAGGAAAATCCCTACCCGTTTTGGCTGCACATGAAGAGTCAGAGCCTGTCGACTAGGGGCAAATGTAAAATGCTCATGTTGGTTCCATCGCCCCAACACCCAGTAGCCATTGGCAGGAGAGAGTTCAGGATCTTTGTTTTTCCTGTCCACTTTATCCCAACACACCCCCAGGTACCATCGATTTTTCTTCCCAACTTCTACTTCCCAATAAAATTCCTCCAAAGAGAAACCTTGTGAAGCCACTACACTTGGAGACTGAAATCTCTTCTCAGTTTCAGGTATATCAAGAACCTTAATGTCTCCATAGGTCACTTTTTTACAGTCTTCCGATACATGGAGTATACAGTGAGCAGTTTCTGGATCCAGAGTCACCTCCACTGGGAAGAGAAAAAGAATGGTGTGGAGGTGTGGAGGGTGTGTGGGAAAGGGACATTGGGGGTGAAAGATAATGAAGACAAACAATGAGGAAGAGATGAGAAGAGGGATAGAGAGAGAGAGAGAGAGAGAGAGAGAGAGAGAGAGAGAGAGAGAGAGAGAGAGAGAGAGAGAGAGAGAGAGAGAGAGAGAGAGAGAGAGAGAGAGAGAGAGAAGAGAAAAACTTCCAATATGGATTCTAATAAACATCCCCTCCATTTCACTTTGTTTTTCTTACCTGTCATAACTGAATGTTAGGAAAATCTGATCCCTCATGAATGTTAGGAAATCTGATCCCTCACTATTCTCCATGGACATTATGGGACTATTTTACCTTCACTAAAATGGGCCTGGGGATAGAGACATAAGGCAAAACACTTGTGAAAATATCTGGCGTGATCTCCACTACAGGAAGAGGGAGAAAACAGAAATCTAGAACAAAATAATGAAATGAGACATGCCTCCAAAAATAAAACATGTCAACTAAATAATGTTAATCCTAATTCCAATTACTCTCCTCTACATAGCTGAGCTTTCTTTTCTTGTCCACTTTGAAGCCATCACAAACCTTTGATTTGACCAACAAATGACTCCACTTTGTGTACAGTTAGACACCTGGCCCTTCCTCAATATTTGTGCTCAAGACAGAGGAATCATTTCATATTCAAGGGTCATGAAGACAGTGACTCATTTCCTGATTGCCAACTTGATCAGTATGCTATGAATCAAGGATTAGGAGAAATGAAGGAGCAGAGGGAATGAAGAAACCTGGCCAATGAAGAGATCTTCAGTTATAGTTACCTGCATGCTTAGTGGCATTTTCCCATCCTGAAAAGATATAAACAGGTCTGAATTATTGCTTGGGATGGGAACAAGAAAAGTACGATACTGAAATAGAGAGATGGGGGATGAAAACAAAATGAAAGAGGAATACATGATGAGTGGCTAGAAAAGGGAATGGAGGATATAATATGAAAAGAAACTTCTCTTACCTTTTTCCCCCATTTTTATCCTCCAGTCTAAAATCAATACATAAGAGATGTGGTGACATTGAGAAAAAAGAGCATCCCAGAAAGAGCATTTGATATACAATAAGCAGAACAAATGAACAAAACTCACCCAGATCTTTCATAAGTTTTCCTATGAATAAAAAGAAACACAGAAATACATCAGAAAGCCCTAAGAAAAGATGAAGATTTAAAGCAGAGAGAAAGGTTCTAAGAAAATCAAGTTGACAAGAGATAAAGTCAGACAATCTTGGGTCCAGGACATATCCTGGAAGCTATTCTCTGTATGTAGTCAGGTGCCATGTGAAAGAACATAGTATCTCAGTGGGTGGGATGGAGTTGTTGAGATCCCTCAATGGGGCACAGCAGGAGAAACAATGAGAACAAAGTAAAGGTTCTTCACCACTCCTCTCTAAATATGGAAAATGTTTAATAAATGTTGAAAATGGATGAACAGAATTTTTCAAAGCAGTTGAGAGGTAACAGTGAAGAGAAGTTTGGAAGAGGAAATGACAGAAGAAGAGGTCAATAGGGAAAAGTCATAGAGAGTAATCCAGTGCCCTCCCCTCTCCATTCCCATTACCTTGATATCTATGAAGTGAAATTCCAAAAGCAACAAGAATCACAAAGATAGCCATCATAATAAAGAAAGCATAGCTCCAAGGAGAATGCTGGAAAAATTGATCTGTAAGACAACCCCATAGAACCACAGGACAACTTAGAACCAATTTAGACAACTTCAGTAATTCATTATAAAAAAATAATAAAAATGATTTTGATAGTAATGATGTAAATCCCAGTATGAATGTGAGTTATTGTTAAAGCATTGAGAGGCAGTGTAATGTCATGAAAAGAGCCTTGAATATAGAGTCAGAGGATTTGTATTCAAATCTCAGCTCTGCTACTTACAATTGATTTGTATCTTCTTGAACCTCAGTTTCCTTACTTGTAAAATGAGATGACTGAATTTCTAAGGTCTCTTCCAGGTCTAAATCTATGAACAATGAAGGTTTACAAAGTACTTTTCTCACTACTACCCAATAAAATATATCTTACAATCCTCTACTCCCATTTTATGAAGAGGAAACAGAGGCAGTTGTTTCGAGTTCCAAGTTCATCAAATTTTACACATATCTCCCCATTTTTTCCATTACAATGGCATGTGAAACTATATGGATTCTGTGTGGTTAAATTTTAGATAACCTATATCAACAGCAGGGATTTTTAACCTTTTTTGTTTTCCTTTGTGGACCCTTTTGGTAGACTGGTGAAACCTGTGGTCCTCTTCTCAAAATATTTCTAAATGCATAAAATAAAATACATAGTATTACAAAGAAATCACTTATTTTGAAATATAGTTATCAATATACATTTTTAAAAAGCAGCCTGCTGGATCCCAGATCCCCTAAAACACAGGATTCCCCAGATCTACCAATCTAATTTTTATTACTGTTATTCAGTCATTTTGGTCGAGCCTGACTCTTTGTGACCTTATTTAGGGTTTTCTTGGCAAAGATACTGGAGTAGTTTGCCATTTTACATGAGGGTACTGAAGCAAACAGAGTTAAGTGATTACCCAGGGTCACATGCCTAGTAAATGTCTGAGGCTGGATTTGAACTCAGGTCTTCCTGACCCTAGGGCCAGCACTGTATCTACTACCTACCAATCAACCTATTAACCCTATCAAAAAAGTAAAGGAGGATAATCTGGCTTGACATTTTTTTTTTGATGAGGCCATACCAGGTCTTTGTAATCCTGCTGCATTTTCTAGATGTTCACTAGTCATTCCTTTAAAAATATATCCCTCCTAAAAAATAAAAAAATAAAAATATATCCCAAATTTTATCTGGAATTTGACAGTCAAGTTCACTGACCTATAGATTCCCCCCCCTTTTTTGAAACCGAGAACAAAATTTGCTCTTCTCTAGTCTTAAAGTACCTTACCAGTTTCTACCATCTCTCAAAGCTCACTGCTCAGCAATCATATTTTTCAGGTTCATTCATGCCCTAGGACAGAGTTCTTCTGGGGTAAATCAAAAATATGAAGGTAATAAACTGGAGATACCTACTTTCACTTTCCTTATTATAAATTCTGAAGCAGAAAAGTCTCTTCCTTCTAAGGTCCTCTTCATTTCTACCAATACAAACTGATCCGTATTTATTTTCTGCTTTGTAAATTCATACTATGTTTCATTGGTCATAAAATGAATTGATATAAGTTAAAAAATGAAACTTGCTGGTGTGAGAACACTTGCATTTTTTTTTCCTTTTGGCTAGGCAATAGGGTTAAGTGACTTGCCCAGGGTCACACAGCTAGTATGTATTATGTGTCTGAGGTCGGATTTGAACTCAGGTCCTCCTGAATCCAGGGCTGGTGCTCTATCCACTGTGCCATCTAGCTGCCCCCAAAACTTGCATTTGTTGAAAAAGTAGGCCTTGCCCTATCCAAACTATTCATAAATGTATACATTTTGAGCATATTCCCCCTTGTCTGGTATCTTTCCAAAGTGAAGCAACAAATACGGGACCAAAATTCACAAATCTAAGATGAAGAATATGAAGTTCTATCAAGTGAGCAAGCCAAGGAAGCTTCTCTTCCATCTCCTTCCACTCTATCCTACTACTTACCAGCTACTTTCACTCTGCACTCTTGTCTGAGGCCCCTCATGTGGAGGGAACATAGGACATCCCCAGTTGAAGGTTCTTGTACAATGAAAGAGGTTTCTATGTCAAATAGGCCATTATTCCCTGTGTTCACCTTGAAGTCTGAAGACAAAGACTGTCCTTGATGATTTTTCCACTGTGCCTCAGGCCTGGGGAACCAGCCAGATGATTGACATACCAGCAATATGTATCTATCTCCATATCTCTCAAGAGAGATGAGAGGGGATGACCCAAGAGCTGCAGAAAATGAGAAATGAGATGAAAACAAAGATCATATTTCAAGAATATTTAGGAGCATAATTTATCCTGTTCCTAGGTAGTTCTTGTTTTGTTTTTGTTTTGCAGGGGTATTGGAAGGACAGCTTGCTTGTTAGCTTGCTTTTTTCGGTCTACTGATCAAAGAGTAGGAACAATCTGATAATCCCACTCTTTCAGTAGAGTGTTATAGTTAACTAAACTTGAAGAAATTATTTCATTGTAAATGAACAACTAACCTGCTACATGTAGTTCCCAAGTGTGATCCTGGTAGAAAGTTTGGGAGCTGAACCAGCATCCATATAGCCCTGAATCTGAAAGGGTTATATTCTTCAGTTTTAAGGAGACTCTCCCTTCAGTGATGGCATCTTGCACAAACTGGGTTCTCCCTTGATACTCCTTCATTTGCTTCTTCTGCATTTCTTTCCCATCCTTGATTAGAGACAGCTCTGAAGAGAATTGGTCCCTGAAGAATCTCACCTCCATGACTTCCAAACTCATCTTGGGTAAGACATGACAGGAGAAAATAACATCTTCTCCCACCAATGCCTGAATAGGCTCATCTGGGCCAATCACCTGAAACTGACCTGTAGGGATAACCAGAAGACGTTTGTTAACTATGGACATTTGTCTATATAATGCAGAGGGTTTGAATTAGGAACAGAAAGGAAAACTTCATATTGTCTCTTTTGAATTAGGAACAGAAAGGAAAACTTCATATTGTCTCTTTTCAGTCTTTAGCTGTTTCACCCAGTACATAATTCTCTGCCTTTTAAATTACAAGAAAATAGCCATGAGGTCAGAATATATGAATGAATAATCTACACATAAAATAACAAAATATTAATGTTGGAAGGGGCTTTAGATGTCATCTAGTACAACCATCCATTGAATGCCAGAATTCCCTACACATTTCTTAGAGGTGATCATTCAGATCCTGATTACTCATCACCAGTGACTGGGGACCACACTACCTAATAAGGTAGCCCATTCCATTCTGAGACAAGTCTAATTAGAAACATTCTTTATGGTGAACTAAAATCAGACTTCCTGCATCTTCTCTCCATTGTTTAGTTTTCTTTCTAGAGCTACTGAGATTTAGTGAAATTCTTCTTTCACATACTTCAAATAATTGAAAACTCATTACAGGTAAAAATTATAAATGGATTCTAATCTGCACCAGTAGAACAGGAACATATCCATGTTGACAAAATCATAGGTCTACCGAGTCTACCAAAATATGGAAGCATCATATTCCCCAAAAGTTTCTCTTTTATACCTTATCTTTCTACTGCTCTTTATAAAATGTAATTTACAGCATAGGGGAAAAATAAGAACCATAATCATTTCATGCCATTGTAGTAGACTAAAAATGTAGAAATCACCCAACAATTTGGTGGCTTGTTATTAGATTGTCTTCAACCTCTGTGCCAGTAAACTTAAAGGGGGTATAATCTCATTCATTGCTGTAGCTAATAATTGCTTTCTTTGGACAAGAGACCTTGAAGTTGTTGTTTTTGGTGTTTTTTTTTCCTTAAAATGACTGTTTCCATAATTGTGAAAGTATTCGATCTCTTGCCCTTGTCTCCTGCCACTGAAAAGAGAATGATTTCTTATGCTGATGATAGATCCTATCACTTTTATTCCAAATAATCTTTTTTCTCCATTTGCTGATCCCCCTGTTTCACTGCTCCTCTTCTGAGAAATGTTTTAGTTTTCTATCCTAAGCTTCTACAGAATGTAGCTCTTTAGCTATGTTCTCTGAGCTTGAAAGGATTGCACTACTCTGACTAATGAGAAAGAATTAATTAAAATAAAATATCAATTAAAAATCCTTGGGAACCTACCTTCCAAAACATACACAAGAGCTATACAAATACAATTACAAAACATCACACAAATAAAGGCAGATCTAAATAACTGAAGAAAAAAAATTCTGTTCATCAGTAGGCCAAGCCAATATAATAAAATTTATAATACCATCTAAATTAATTTATTAATTCTGTGCCATACCAATCACATTACTAAAGAATTACTTACAGAGCTAGACAAAAATAATAACACAATTCATCTGAAGGAGCAAAAAGTCAAGAATATCAAGGTTACTGGTGAGGAAAAATACAAAGAAAGAGGGCCTACTAATACCAAATCTCAAATTGCAACACAAAGTGTAATCAGCAAAACAATTGGTACTGGATATGAAAGAAAGTGATTGATCAGTGCAATAGATTATATACATAATGTACAGAAGCCAATGAGGACAATAAACTAGTATTCGATAAATGAAAAAAAATCTCAGTTATAGGGGTAAGAACTCACTCTTTAACAGAAATTGCTGAGAAAACTATAATGCAATCTGTCATATATGGGGCATAGACCAATATTTCACAACAAAGCAAGATAAAGTCAAAAGGGGAATATGATTTAGACAACAAAGTTGATATCATGAGCAAATTCGAGGAAGAAATTACCTGTCATATCTATGGATAGGGGAAGAATTTATTATGAAACAAGAGGTAGAGAGATTCCTGGAATGTTAAAATGCACACTTTTAATTCTGTTTATATTACATTAAAGCAGTTTTGGTAGTCTACTTGCCAAGAGAGTCCCAGGAACTATATGAATATAATTACAAAATACTTCACACAAGTAAAGTCAGATCTAACCAACTAGAAAAACATTAATTGTTCATGGGTAGAGCAAGCCAACTTAATAAAATTAAAATTCTACCTAACTTAATTTACTTATTCAGTATCATACCAATCAAACTACCAAAAATATCTTAGAGAACTAGAAAAAAATCATAGTATGTTATTCCCCAATTGATAAATCAAAGGATATGAGCATGTAGTTTTCAGATTAAGAAATCAAAGATATCTATTGTCTTATGAAAAAATACTCTAAATCACTAATGATTAGAGAAATGCACATTAAAGCAAATCTGACACACCACCTCATATCTATCAGATTAACTAATAACGACAGAAAAAGAAAATAACAAATGTTGGAGAGGATGTGGGGAGATTGGGAACATAATGTATAGTTGGTGGAGTTACGAATTGGTGCAGTGGTTCTGGAGAACAATTTGGAGCTATGTCCAAAGGGTTATAAAACTGTGTGTATACTTTGACCCAGCAACCCCACTGCTAGATCTGTATTCCAAAAAAGATTAAAACAAAAAGGAAAGGACCTATATGTACAAAATATTTATAGTAGCTCTTTTTGTAGTAACAAAGAATTGGAAATTGAGGGGATGCCCATCAATTAGGGAATAGCTGAACAAGTTGTGGTATATTATTGTGATGGAATACTACTGTGCTATAAGAAATTATGAGCAGGATGGTTTCAGAAAAAAAAACTAGAAAAATTTACATGAACTAATGCAAAGTGAAGTGAGCAGAGCTAAGAGAAGAGAATACACAATAATAACAATATTGCATAATGATCACTGTGAATGACTGTTATTTTCAGCAATACAATGATCCAAAAAATCCCGAAGGACTTATGATGAAAAATGCTATTCACCTCCAGGGGAAGGACTGATGGAGTCTGAATGCTGATCAAAGCATACTTTTTTTTTTAACTTTCTTTAGTCTATGTTTTCTTTTTACAACATGCCTAATATGGAAATATATTTTTTGTGACTGCACATGTATAAGTTATATAAAATTTCTTGCCTTTTCAGTGAATGGACAGGGGAAAGAGGGAAAGAATTTGAACTCAAAATTTAAAAAATAATGTTAAAAATTGTTTCTATATGTAATTAAAAATGAAATATTTAAATATTTTAAAAAGGTTTTGCAAAAACAAAAGCAATGCAGTCAAAGTTAGAAGAAAAAGAGGAAACTGGGGAAAAAAATTAGTAACAAATTTCTCTGGAAATGTCTGATTTCTCAAAAACATAGAGTACTGAGTCATTTTGTAAAAAGGCATTCCCCAGTTGATAAACTGTCAAAAGATATGAATAGACAGTTTTCACAGGAAGAAATCAAGGCTATCAATAGCCATATGAAAAAATGCTCTAGATCACTAATAACTAGAGAAATATAAATTAAAGCAACTCTGAGATACCACCTCACACCTATGAGACTAGCTAATATGACAAAAAAGGAAAATAATAAATTTTGAGAGGGATGTAGGTAAATAGGCACAATAAAGGACTACTATTGGGGTTCTGAACTGGTCCAATCATTCTAGAGAAGAATTTGAAAGTATGCCCAAAGGGATATAAAATGTGCATGTTCTACAATAGCAATACCAGATTTGTATCTTAAAGAGAGCAAAGAAAAAGGAAAATGACTCATATCAACAAACATATTTATAGCAGCTCTTTTTGTGGTGGCAAAGAACTGAAAACTTAGGGGTTGCCTATCATTTGGGGAATGACTGAACTCATTATTGCATATGAATGTGATGGAATACTATTTGTGGAATACTGCAGTGTAAGAAATGATGGAGTTGGCTTCTGAAAAACCTGGGAAGACTTATATATACTGATGTAAACTGAAATAGGTAGAACCAGAACATTGTACAGAGCTGTGACATACATCAAAAAGGTTTCAAGAGACATTGTTTCTGTGTAATTTAATCACTTTAATAATAAGGCCAGAAGATTATTAATAAAAAAGATGGTCATGTGGCTGATGGAGATGATGAAGAGAAGGAATAACTAGTCACACAATTTCTCTTTTTTCCTGATAGATTTTGGACCAGGAAGAATAGAATAAAAATTATTAATAGGGAGTTGAAAATTAAGATAAGGAGGTGGTAAAAAAGAAGAGAAAAGGAAAGGAGGGAAGGATAAATGGAGAGGGGGAGGTAAGGAAGGGAGGTAAAGGGGAATTAAGGGAAGGGATGGGAAGAAGGAGAGGTAAGTAGGAAAAGTGGGAAGGAAGCAGTGAAGGGAGAAAGGAAGGAGGGAGTATATTTTATAGAGACTTTCACTACCTTCAGTTAAAAAAAAAGTAAAATGAGCAGTAACTACACAAGGCTCATTTGGGAGATATGTTTATTGAGGAAGGTACCTATTAGTGCCTCTCAAATAATATAACAGAAACAAGGCTGCTAACTTTGCCTCATTTCTCTAAGAGTGATGATAGGAACTAATAAGCTATGCATCAAAAGCACACTGAAAGGTAACTGGCCAGGATTAAGAGGTGAAATCTATAGAGCCTATTTGACTTCTAGTGGACTCCAACCAACAAGTGTGGCTTCTAACTAGTTGAGTTATTGTATCTTTTACTTAATAAAGGTCCAATGTTTGCTGAGTTGAATTGAGTAGAAAAGACATGGAGATAAAGAGGAGACTGAGGGTAGCACAAACAAGGGCAGACTTACCTGATCCTAGATCTAGACTGAGAACAAAGATAAGGAGGAGGTGGCACTCAAATGGTTTAGAGGCTTGAATGTGGCACAGGAGAACTGAGATTCCCAACATATCTGTGGATCTACTCATGAAAACTGTAAATAAAGTGCAATGAGATATTTTAGAGTATGTAACAAGAAGCACTGGAGGCAGGTCAGAAATATGAGCTTAATTCTTTGATTCTTAGACAGGCCTCATAGATATGGAGTCCCATAACTAAAGAGAGACAGTACCCTTGGGAATTTACCTGGGGAAAAATTAATTCTTTTCCTTACATCCCAATTCAAACTGTTAGCAGGAGCAATTGAAGAGGATTTTCTCCCTTACAGGGTTAAATAAAACACATTTTTATGCCCAGTTGGGATAACAAGAGAAGAATGGAGATGTACGACTTCTGAAACTATGATAATATAAATATAGTGTAAAGGAAATAAAAAGGAAAGGTCAAAGATGAGGAGATACACTAGAGCTTCTGCCTGATTTGCTTTAATCCTGCTGATTGATCTCTGCCAGCTTTTACCAGTCCAAAATTTGTCCTGTGACTCAGAGATTCAGGCAAGTAGAAAGAGAGCTGACCTATGTAGTCTCAGACATTTTACCATATGAAAAGGTTAAATTAGATGACCTACAGGTTCCTTCCCAGCTCAAACATAGTTAAGACAATAAGGGAAAGGTAGCACCTCACCTACAAACAGTCCATGTACTATTAAAATATATAATCAGCAGGAGTGTGAAAGGAAGAAGAGCTTTGATTGTATAGATAATGTCTTGTTTCCTACATGGGGAGCTAATAATCCCAAGGAATTTCTTTTCTCACTCTCCCCATCCTTCTTTTTACTATGTGCTCAGTCGTTGATCCTCTGTTGGAAGGAGGTGGAAGAAAAATCAAGGGATAGGTACTGTCAGTAAGTATCCCTTCTCGGATAAAGCTCTGCATAAAGATTTTATGGAATAACAGAGGAAATGTGTCAGAAAGGATTTGCTAATGGTATGGGTAGGAATGGGGTTGACCCTTGGGCTTCAGGATGAGGATGTGCTAGAGTCAGATTCTCCTGGCTTTCTAGAGATGATTATGAAATAACACCTAAAAACAAATTTCAGAGTGGCAGAACCCAGAAAAGGAAGCAAAGAAACAATTCTGCAGCCCAACACAGCTTAGATAGTCAACAACAACAACACAAAAAAGGTCTGTAACACTGGAGTGATAGTGGAGCACAGTCTAATGCAGGCTGCACTAACACAGACTGGGACCCAGAAAATCAGAATCAGGCATTGGAAGCTACTGAATCAGTAATGGCAAGTGGCTACTTCTGGAGCTCTCAGCCCACTCACAGTAAGGGGGTTGGACAACTAGTCAGAAAGAGATTAAAGGGTCCCTTTGCTGGCACCAAGAGCAGAACTCTGTTGCTTTGCCCATATTTGGATCCAGGCTGCTGTCCTGGGAGGCAGTCCAAAGTGTTAGGAACACTAGCATACCAGAGCTTGCAGCCTCAGTGGAACAGGAACCCTGGTCATAGTTCCAGGTCATAAAAAAGTGCTTGTGCTCACTCACTCACAGAACAGAGTACAGGCTAAGAGAGTAGTAAATGCACTTCCCCTTAAATCATACATCTTGGAAGAAATGAAAGCCTACAGACCCAGGAAACAGCTGTGAAAACCACTTCCTGAAACTTAGGAAAGAGCTACCTCCACCTGGCACGCAGAGTTCCGTTTTACCATAGAGCTAAAATTCAAGAAATTGTTTGGAAAAATGATCAAGTAAGAGAAAAATATTCTGCCTATAGAAAATTTCTATGGCGACAAGGGAGACTAAACACACACTCAGAAGAAGACAACAAAGTCAAACTCTTACATCCAAAGCCTCTAAGAAAAGTATGAATTGGTCTCAGGCCATGGAAAAGCTCAAAAATGTTTTTTTCTGTTTATTTAATATTTTATTTTCCCCCAGTTACATATAAAAACAATTTTAACATTCATTTTTAAAAATTTGAGTTCTAAATTCTCTCCTTTCCTCCCTCCACACCTCCCTCATTGAGAAGGCAAGCAATTCAACATAAGTTATACATGTGTAGTCATGCGAAACATATTCATAATAGTCATGTTGTGAAAGAAAACATTGGAAAAATGCAAGAAAAATAAAGTAAAAATGTATGCTTCAATCTGCATTCAGAAAGCACCAGTTCTTTTTTGGAGGATGCACACCACTTTTCATCATAAATCCTTCAGAGTTGCCTTGGATCATTGTGTTGTTAAGGATAGCTAAGTCATTCACAGCCGATCATCTTACAATATTGCTGTTAGTTTCTACAGAGTACATTTGATTCAAAAATGATTTTAAAAATCAAGTAAGACAGGGGCAGCTAGGTGGCCCAGTGGATAGAGTACTGGCCCAAAAATCAGGAGGACCTGAGTTCAAATCCAACCTCAGACCAAACACTTGACACTTACTAGCTGTGTGACCATGGGCAAGTCACTTAACCCCAATTGCCTAAAAAAAAAATCAAGAGAAAGAGGAAAAATTGGGAAGAGAAATGATAGTGAAGTAAGAAAATCATGAAAAAATAGTCAATATGTTGTTTATTATTGTGATGGAACACAATTGTGCTATAAGAAATGATGAATAGGATTCTGTTTCTGGGGAGCCAAGATGGCAGAGTAAGAAGGAAGTTGCTCTCACCCTCCCTTATTGACCTCTGAAAGCCCAGAAAATATCACCCCAGGAAAAACCCTGCAATAGCTGCACCAGCAGAAAGATGGGATGCAGCTGTCTGGTAGCCCAGGAAGCTTGGGGGATTAATGGGAAAAACCCCTCTTGCTCTGGGGGTGGAGGAGGAGTACAGGAAGAAAGGCATCCTAGCAAGCCAGTGGCAAGCCCCAACTCAGCATACCAGGGGTAGATCATGAGCTCCAGTGTAGGGGAGCAGGCAAACACCAATACAAGGATCCCCTGAGTACTTCATTATAGGCAGGGGACCCAGTAGACATCAGCTCAGAAAACCACCACATGTGCCAGTACTCTCCAGCAATCAAATCTCTCAGTGCCTCAGCAAAAATTTTAGGAAGCACAACTCCAGGAGGCAAAGCTCCAGGATGACAGTCATTCTCCAAAACCCAAACAAAGAAGTGCAAGGCTTGGTTGAGTAGGCATCCCACAGGGGCCAGACTCCCCACCCCCAACCCCAAGAGCTCCAGTGTTGCTGACCCCAGCCCAGCACCAGGTAAGCTGCCAGAACCCTGCATCCTCCAACTGCCAGCGCAAAAATCAAGTGACCAGGTCTGGGGATCCTTGCACAAAAAGCTTTGGTCAGTGCCCCTTGCACTCAAACAGGAGAGCTCAACTTTTTTTTAAAGTCAGGAAATAGGCAAACAATATGAACAAAAAGCAGAAATGGACAATGACCATAGATTCTTATTATGGGGACAGGGAAGATCAAGGCAAAAATTCAGAAGAGGACAACATTGTCAACATACCCACACCCGAAACCTCAAAGGGGAAAATGAACTAATCTCCAGTCGAAAAAGCCTTCTTGAAAGAGCCCAAGAAGGATTTTAAAAGTCATATAAGAGAGGTAGAAGAAAAGATGGGAAAAAAAATGAGAGGTATGCAAGAGAGTCAATAGATTAGAAAAGGAAGGACAAAATTTTACAGTAGAAAACAAGTCTCTAAAAAATACAATTGGCCAAATGGAAAAAAAATAGACTGAATAAAACAATTCCTTAAAAAGCAGAATTGGTCACATAGAAAAGGAGGTGTGAAATCTAAAAGGAGAAAAAAAAATTATTAAAAATTAGAATTGGGAAAATTGAAGCTAATGACTATGAGAGATTAAGAATCAGTCAAACAGAAACAAAAGAATGAAAAAATATGAGAAAACATAAAATGCATCATTGGTAAAACAACTGACATGGAAAATAGATCCAGGAGAGACAATTTAAAAATTATTGGTTTACTTGAAAACCAAGATGGAAAAAAAAGAGCCTGGACAGCATCTGTCAGGAAATCATCAAGGAAAACTTCCCTGAAGTTTTTACCAGAGGGTAAAATAGCTATAGAAAGAATCCACCAATGACCTCCTGAAAGAGATCCCAAATTGAAAATGCCAAGGAATATTGTAAACAAATTCCAAAATTACCAGGTCAAAGAGAAAATACTGCAAGTAGCCAGAAAGAAACAATTTAAATATCATGGAGCCACAGTCAGGATTATGCAGGACCTTGTGGCTTCCACATTAAAAGATCTTAGGGCATGGAATATAATATTCCATAAGACAAAGTCAGGAAATAGGCAAACACTATGAACAAAAAGCAGAGGAGCTTGAATTACAACCGAAGATCAACTACCCAGCAAAATTGAGCATAATTTTTCAGGGCAGGAGATGGACATTCAATGAAACAGGGGACTTCCAAACCTTCCTGATGAAAAGACAAGAGCGCAACATAAAATTTGATCTTCAAATACAAGACTCAAGAGAGGCATAGAAAGGTAAATAGGAAAGAAAAACAACATATTATTAATCACAGCCAACTGTTTACATCTGTAAAAGGGAAGATGACACTTGTAACTTTTGAGAATTGTAATGTTATTATGACATTCAAAAAGAGTATACATAGACAGAGGGCATGGGTATAAATTGACTTTGATGTGATGATAAAAAATTTAATTAAGTAGTGAAAAGGAATTGTCCTGGGAGAAGAGGAAAGGAGGAGGGAGACAAGTATAAATATATCACATAAAAAGGTACAAAAGTCTATTACAATAGAGGGAAAGAAGAGAGGGAGATGAACATTGTTGGAACCTTACTGTCATCAGATTTGGTTCAAAGAGAGAATAACATAATCAGTTAGGTATAGAAATCTAACTTATCCTATAGGAAGTCAGAGGGGAAAGGGAAAAGAAAAGGGAGAAGGTGAATAGAAGGGAGGGAAGAAGTAGAAAGGGTAAAGGGGAAGAAAAGGGAGGGCTGATAGAAGGGAAGGCAGATTGAGGGAAACAGTAGTCAGAAGCAAAACACTGGTGAGGAGGGAAAGGTAGAAAGGAGAGAGAAAAGCATAAATGGGAGAGAATGGGATGG